GGTTGGTGGAGGTGCTGCCGCCGGGGACGCTCACCCCCCGCGGCGTTTCGTTTTGTCTTCCTAGTGCCCGGCGTCGCCGAGTTCGCCGCCTCCTTCAAAAGCGTGAGTGACCGGTCGCGTTTCTCCCTTCCTCCCACCCTGCAGCCCGTGTGGCGGTAGAGCTGCTTCTGCTTCCTCCCCTGGGCTTTACTGCGTGCTATAACGCCTGTCTCGGTTATAACTTTCATATACACCAGCATAATCCTCTTTTTAAAAAAAAAAATATGCACTTTTTATGTTTTCTCTTCATACCTTATACAGCTTATTGTGAGTGAGAATTACACCTTGGAGGAATTAAAAGGTTTTAGATTTTAGAAAATGCTGCTTTTCGTGCTGGCTTTGGTTTGTAGGTGCTAGTGTGCTGGTTTTAACTCTAAAGTCCAGGGAAAGCTTGAAAGCAAGTTTCCCTATAAAAATATCTCTGCAGAGCATCTGGTACTCTCCTATTTTTTTTGCTGTTGGCGTGAGTAGTTTTCAGTAGGAGATCAGACTTCTTTGTATCATTCCAAAGATGTGCTTGTCTGAGTATGAACTTTTTTTTTTTCAAACCAGCCTATTACAAGTTCTCCTCCCAAGTGGATGGCTGAATTAGAAAATGATGATATCGATATGTTGAAGGGTGAGTACAGGCACTGGGTATGTGTGTGACGAAGCCAATGGGAATCCAGTACCTACTTAAGAGGCTTAAAACATTTGCTCTTCAAATATTCTGGAGGCACCTCTGTGGCCTTACGTCTCCAGCCCTTGCGTTTGCGGAATCTCAAGCTCTCTCACGTGACCTCTAGATAAACTGTTCCAAAGTGAAAGTTGCACAAATTAATTTCAGCTTGCTGCAAGAAACGTGCTTAAGTGCACACTATTAATGTATAGTAAGCCCCTTACCTTCCATACACTTTTGTAGCTTGTTCACCTAGCATTGTGAGCTTACGGGACATATAAAATATGGAGCAGGTTGCTCATTGCAGTGGTGGCAGTTTACAGCATGAAACAGATCCATGGCTGTCTTATTTCAGCATAAAAAGCTGGGCTTTTCTTGGTATGTTAAAATTTGAGGTGGCCTCAGCTTGGATTTTGAAGATACTCTTCTCACTGGAAATAGTTATTGTCAGAAGTATGAACTAAAAGTGTTCTGTGAAGTACTAAGTGGGTAAACTGTCTCTAGAGGGCTATAAACAGTGTTAAAATTCACTTTTCTCTCCTCTTAGAGTTGGGGAGCCTCACGACAGCTAACCTGATGGAAAAAGTTCGTGGCCTGCAGAACCTGGCTTATCAGCTGGGACTGGATGAGTGTAAGTGCTGTATGCAGGTGTGACTGGCTGCAGTGCAAACCATGCTGCTAAAGCATGTATTCACGGTGTATTTGTGGCTGGAAAACTGTGCTGGTAGATTTGGCAAGTGTTTGACAGTCACAGTTAGTGATATTCCAAAACAGGATGAGCGACTGAGCTTAGCTCTCCAGCTTAACAGCCTCCCTGCATGGAGGAGGCATATTAGCAGAAATAACAAGAGGTCGTATATCAGTCTGGTGTTGTCTAGTGGTACACAGACTTCTGTTCTTGATTTAAGGTTGCCTTAGCTAAAGTTCACTTTGGTTGTTTTCCCACCCAGACATTAAAACTATTTCTCAGAATACTTGTGGCAGGAGTTCTTGTCAAACTTCACTGCCTCCACAGTGAAACTTTCATGTGTATATAGAATTCTACTATCACTTAATGTTCATAGTGCCTTCTGCTTCTCTAGCTGCTTTTTTCTACGCTCAATTGTAGCAGGAAGTGATGTTATTGAGTATTACACTTGACCTTGATCCCACTTACAAACAGCCAATTTTTATCATTGTCTTTGAAGAAGGAACTGCTTTCATCATTGCATTTAGAACTCTGTTGTTAGCAGGTTGATCTAACTTTCAGGAATTCAGGAGTACTGATTTTTTTTTTTTTTTTTTTTCACGTGATACTTGTACATACCAGCACACCTAATTATTTTCTGCTTAATTTTGCTCTGGCATAGACCTTAGGTGCAGTTACTCTTGGGCTATACAAAGCACAAATAGTTTAAAACTTAAAGGTCTTTCACCTTCCTTTCAGTGGATTACAGAAAACAGTAACAGACCTATAAAGTCCTCCTGACTGTAAGCTTAGGATACCCTCATGCTTTCTTATTAACAGATCATTAAACCTGTTTTAAAATATCCCCTCTGAGTTTATGAACTTTCAGTGCTAACATCTGTTAGTGTAAAGCACTTGGTGGAGTCCAAGTTCAAGTGCAACAGTGTAAAACTGAGTCAAAGATTGGCTGATGATTGGGTTTCTCAGTGAAGCTGCAGGTTTACATGTCAGACAGCTTTGTCCAGCTAAATGTTAAGCTAACAAGGTGGTTGTTTCCTTGGGAATTTGTTGAATGCATTTTCATTTAGTTTTATTGAGAACAACTAAATTTGGAAAGAAGATAAAGTGAGCAAACAGTGAAATATTTGAGGTCCAACAGATATAACCTTTAGAAGACTATGTTAATGGAAGTCTTCAATTTTCAAGCTTTATGAGAGCTCTCTATGTTTGTAACTTCTTGTCACTGAAGTCTGTTTTCCTTTAGGCTAAAATACATTGAATGTTTCTGTGCATTACACGTTTATTTTGGGAAAACTTTCACAGAAAAAGAGATGCAAAGCTTGAATAGAGCTGCTCGGGATGGTTTTTCCTAATGCTCTCTTAAGTTCTTTTCTCTTACACACTTAGATAAACAAGAGAACAAGAAGAAAAATCCAAAAGACCTGTTCATTAAAGTTAAGGGACTTAAGGTTTTGGTCCAGAGGAGTTTGTTTTGATTATATCTTTGTGTATTGAAATTTAATAGTTGACTTTTGACTTGACTTAACGGTTAATTAGAACTGGCTATCAAAACCTGGATCAGAACCACTGGTGAGCAGTCTCCTCTAGATGGCACCATGAGGCTTCCCATAGAAGTCTTGTTGCTTTGTTATAAAACTACCTTTTCAGTCATGATAGGAAGTTTTTACCAAGATTTTTTTTCTGTGACATATTTCCTGTTCTGGATGTTCACTGTTTGTTTGGGTCTGATTGGTTTGTGGTTTTTTTTTTTTTTTTTTTTTTTTTGTGGTGGTGGTGGTTTGGTTTGTTTTTTTCTGTTTTTTTTTTTTTTCCCCAGTGTTTTCAAATGTTTTATCTGTATTGAGTGTGAGAAACAATTTTGCTTGATTGAGTTAGCAACTGACTTTCCCTTCTAGTTTTCATCTTCTACATCCCATCTCAAAGCCTTTCTGTTGTCTTCCGAGTTATTGACAAACTGCTGTGCAGGGCCATAGTGATTCCTGCAGCACTCCATGACAAATGTATCTATTGAGTGACTTCGCAACTATGTTGTGCAGTTGATTTTTGGACCAGTTCAGTGTGCTTCATGTTAATTTTGCATTAGAATTCACTAGGCCAAGTGATGTATGGGACTGGGTACCTTTTCAAAAGTTTATTTAACACTGAAATTGAAATCTGAGCAGTTGATTTGACATGATGTGATTGGATAAATTAATGATTACTGAATTACATGCCATTTTTCTAAAATTCATATGAACTGTTGCTCTATTATGTCTACAGAAGTGGGCTTTCTGGACAAAGTTGTATTGAATGAATGCTTTGTCTATTTGTTCCATCTTTGCTGCTTTCATCTAGGAACAGCTGAATACTATTATCTGGATTCCACATTCTTATTATTTTTTTTCTGACTTTTTGGCAATGGATTTCTCAGTTCCTCTTTTGGTTGCTTGCTTTTTGCAGATTTCTGTTCTTTACTACTGTCTCCCCTCTTTTTCCTATAGGGTTACCCTTACTTTCTGTAACTTATTTTGTTGAGTGCCCCATGGTTTCTGTGAGTCAAATTAAATTATTAATTTATAACTTACATATTCTTCCCAGCGTGTTTGACAGCTGGTTACAGTCGTCCTCCACTTTTAAAAAAGTAGCCAGTTTTACAGTCACTGCTATTTCACTGGTCTACACTTTAGTCAGTATGTTCTTATGTGATTTAAGTGATTATATTTAAATTACTATAATTAGCGTAGAGTTCTGTGAAAGTTTTTCTGTATCAGATGAAACTGAATAGATTTCCCTTGCTTGGATTGTAACAGTAAGTTTTGAGAAACAGTTGACTGGAAACTTGAGAGGTGACTTTTACTCCTAGAGGTCTGAGATATAGTCAATCTCCTTCAGGCTGGAATAATGCCAACAGGGCTTCCTCTGGTATTTTATCTCAGCATCTGAGGAGTCAGGCATCTTCCCCTCTGTTAGGATTTCTGTTATGATTTCCTTGTAGTACATACCTGTTTAGTCTGCAATAGCTTTTATCTGAAAACACATCAGTCTCCAAGCTATGGGATGATAATGTCAAAGGAGGCCTTTGATAATTCAGATGGTTAATGCCATTTTTGATAATGCCAGTTCCTTCCTCCTTGTCTGATGCTTCAGTTACTTCTCTCTGAATGAGGTAACTGTTAATCTGTCCAGCCATGTATCTGATTCTTACAGCTTCTGTAGTGCCTAATATATGTAGTTCCTAATCAGATAAGGTAAGTTGCTTATTTTTGGTGTTGTTTTACCTTTAGTTTAAAAAGACTTTCATATGGTACATATTTTACAGCTTTGTCTCCTCTTTTTTTTTTTTGAACCAAATAAATGAGCACCTTATGCTTTTAATATATTTCTGATTGCTGGCTGCATCATCCCCTGTGCTGTCATTTCCCTTTTACTAAGATGCAAGCCACTAAGCTGCCAATAAAAGATGGTCTATCTTCCATAAATCAGAAATTCTTATTTGCACCATTTAATTTGCTGAGGATGTTTATGGTGGAGCAGAAAGGATCTCCAAGGCAATCATGGGGAATATCTTCTTTGGCTCTCCTCCTAGCATACTAGTAGGTGGATTCCTGCTCCCTTGTGTCTGTTCCTTGCAGAATATTCCTTTCCTTAGCATATAACTCACCTGAAGGATAGCCTTCCTTGAACGAAGCAGGATCCTTGTAGCATGAACCAATGATTTTTTTTTTTAATTATCTCCTCTTAAAGGATAGGCTATTATTTCATCTCTTGTTTGGGCATTTTTTTTTTTCTTTGCTACAAGAGGGCTCTGAAGTCCTCCATCAGCTTCCAGGCTCAGGACCTGGTACCAATAATAATAAAATCTTTTTAAAATAAATTAATTTTTGACACCTCTTCTAAGGTCTCAGCTTGTGTTTCTTTTACATAGCTTAAAAAGGAGGCAAATTCTACCTCGTCCTTTTGCATGTTACTGTTTTCTTTCTTCTGTTTCTTCAGTTCTCTCATTAGAGCTTCTATTTTTCTTCCATTAAATAATTATTTTATTGGTTAGAATACATTGAAACCAATTTTAGTATTAAAAATTCTGCTTTGTGGATTTTGTTCTCCCTGTTATTGTGGGTATTGCAAGAGCAGGAGGAAGCACAGGGCTCAATGAACACGCTTTTGATTGTTCATGTAGTTAGGGGTGACTTTTGGAGGCATAGTACCACTGCTGAATGTGAGCTGCAGCCAGTCACAAATCTCATCTCTGCTGTTGGCAGGAGTCTAGGGGGAAGAAAGTGGTACAGGCATATTTCCTTGTTATGGGCATTTTTTTTCCCCCCACTGTCCCTTCAGCTTTGTTTGGAGCGGAGCAGTGAGAACTGCAGAATGAGGAAATGCCAGCTGATGTGGGAAGCAAGAGGGAGGTAGTTCTTATCTGGGAACCCAGTCACAGATCTTGAATTAATGTTTGTGTCCCACAAAGCAGCAGGTTTCAAAACAGTTGTGTAAATAACTGCAGATTTAGATACCCAGCTCTGTTTTTCCACTGTATGACCTATTACAGCTTTCAGAGCAACTGAATAAAAGTTGACTTTCAAAGATCTTTAGAGACCTGGCTTTGTGAGCTCGCAGCTGTGGGGAAGGGTATGCACTGCTAGTAAGCAAACTTAACTTGGTGTTAAGAGATTTTTATTATTATTAGAATCATAGAATCCTTAAGGTTG